GCTCCTTGAGGGCAGGGATGCTGCAGCATTCTCCAGTGTAAAGTACATAGAGCCTGGAGCATAATCAGTGCTTAGTAAACGTCCACTGGCTCCAAAAATGAATGACACTCTCAGAATATGAGCAGGCCATGGAAATATGCAAACCTCTCAACAGTACCCAGCCAAGTCAAAAATAGGGGCAAGCAATTCTGGGTGTGCTCACTTATAATCCACCAGTATGTTAGGTATGTTAAGCCAGCTGTGGGAAATACTACCTAATGGGAAGCCATACACTAGCAAATCACAGAACTGACTGGAGTCACAGCCCACAGCTGTGGTTTCTGCACGAACACCCCAGAGCTAGGAATCACCTCTAAAGTGACAACGAGGAGTGTCAAAGAGAAGCAGTCCATCCCTGTGCTTCCACAAGGGGTGGGGCAGCAAAGGGTAAGGAAGGAGACTTTGGAGTGAGCCCAGGACCCAAAGGGGTCGGGGCTCCTCCCCTGCTCACTGCCACAATCCTATCCTCCAGGTTCATGCTCCAGAAGAGGCAGCTTTGCAAAGCATCGGAGGTGGCCAGTCGTCTGGCCCCGGCCTCTTTTGCAATCCTTGAGCCCTCCTGGACCCCCAAAAGTGCCTCTCAGAATGCAGGGCCTGGCCAGGTCAATCTCATTAGTCAATGGTTTAGGTTACTGTGTGTTAATTTAAACTGGTTATCATCAGGTATAGCTCATAAACACTTACTTGATTAGTTTACGCACTCAAGTTGAAACCGAAACTTCAATTAAACCAAACATTCACTACTACCATTTAGGCCGCAGGACTGCCCCACCTTTTGGCGTCTCTGGGCCACACTGGAAGAAGAAGAGTTGTCCTGGGCCATACATTACATACATTATGACATGTAATAACAAAAAAATTTCACAAATGTTTTAAGAAAATTTACAATTTTGTGTTGGGCCACATTCACAGCCATCCTGAGCCATGTGCGGCTATGGGTTGGGCACCCCCAATAGAGTCTTAAAAAATAAAAAATGATTTAAAAAAAGAAAGAAAAACAGAAAGAATGGTCTCCAGGAAGAGACTCCTACAAAGCAAACAAATTATCAATTTCAACACAATGAAAACTGATTTAGGAGTGCAAATTTAGTATTCTGGTCACTGAAAATAAGACCTCACATTGTTGCTCTCACACAGGCTGATTTCCTTGCGTAAGGAAATGGAGAGAAGAGGATGGAAAGAAGGAACCGCTAAGAGAGATAAACAAGCAAGAGCGGTTTATCCTTCATAAATAACATCTCTGCAGAATTAAATGTGGGCTGTTCTCAAGCATGGGAGAAACTCTCTCCTTGCCTCCTCCTTCACCCCTCCCCTGCCAGATTAGAAAAAAAAAAATTAATCGTGTATGATGACAAACTTGGCTCAGCACTCACTGTACACACTGTACCCACAAGGCTGGCTCCCGGCCAGGCCTGGCCCTGTGCCAGCGCTACAATAACAAACACAGGCCATGCTAGCCAAGAGGGGGTGGGGGCAGCTAGCAGGCCCAGCAAGGGAGGGCGCAAGGAAGTGAGTGCCGTTTGGCTCCACTGAACAAGAGACAACAGCAGGAATGTGCCTGTGCAAGGGACGGCAGGTAGCACCATGACCCCAAACCAGGTCCAGACTCACTTCTCCACAACCTGCACCCTTTAAAAAACTAGTCCCCAGGATTCTGGTGCAAATGCTACTTTTAGGCTCTTCACTGCTGCTCTAGCCCTTGGTGATCTTCTGCAAAATGGGTCTACACCGAAGACCCTTAGGTGACTTTCTTGTCAGCTGACTGTCAGCTTCCTGCATGGAGCCTTCCAAGCAAAGCAGCAAAAAAAACCTCATACATCTCCTCTCTCCTCTAAATGTCCCACGATTCTGTGATCCAGCAACTGAAAGAGGAGGCAAAAGGTGTAAAGTCCAGCTAGTGCTGCTAGGGTCTGAAAGCAGATCTGGCACTACCAGGCCAGCCCTCCAGCCCTACACCCCACAGTGCCTGGTCTCTCCAGAGGCCCCAGGCCTTCGCTGTTTAATGGGGTGGGGGGGGTGACAATCTAGGAAGTGGTCTAGCCTCACAAGCCCTTATTGCTATTTTATTTTCAAGACATCCCAGCCCAGAGGTGAGCAGTCTGAGAAACAACAGACAGAAAAAGCAGGGAACAGAAATATCATTCTAAGCAGGCTATGAGCTATCTGCAAGATGGAATGGAATGAAAGCACTGTTTTGACTCATCACACTGTCCCCATCACCAAATCCTCCTTTACAAGGGCACTGGAAAGTGAATGTCAGAGGGACAGACCATTTGCACAATGAGACTTCAGGCATGGAAGGAAAACCCAGGAACCAGGACACCACTCCCACAGCTGCCAGGGCATCCCTAGGAGACCCTGAAGTAGAGCTCAGTTAGAGGGTGTTGCAGAGTCACTCATCTTGTCTGAAGTGGGGGCTCTGGGCCTCTCAAAGCGTGTAAGAAGCTTCTCCCTTCTCTGCCACTCCTCACCGGCCCCACCAACACTGCTGAAGTGTGCTTCTCAGTGGAGACAGTGGCTAACTTGCATTCAGCCCATAAGAGCCAGTGGGCTCCTGGCTGTCCCCCAGTGAACTCCTGAGACACAGTCTAAGCAGTTTCCATCACAGAAGAAACCAGGAGAAGGACTAGTTTCCCTGAGGTTACCCACAGGTGTCCCAGGCTGCATTCGTTCGTTCATTCAGCCAGTGTCTGTTGACTGCACTGATGTGCCAGGCAGTGTGCTGCACACAGTGGAGCCAGACCCTGTCTCCAAGCAGCTCACAGTCGATTAGAGGAGCAGAGGGAAAGGAACATTACACAGACTGAGCACCTACCATGTCTCAGGCACAGTGCTAAGTGTCTGATGTGAGCCTCACAACTTCTCTGAGGCAGGGTGAAGCTCTCTTCTGACAGATAAGGATACAGAGGCTCAGACAGCTTACATTTCTCACTCAAAGCCACATGGTCAGGAGGAAGGTGCCCAAACTCCTAACCCTGACTCCCAAGTAGAAGAGATAAGGCAAGTCCACAAATAACCATGACACAAAGAAGAAACATTGTGTCCAAAGACACTTCAGATAAAGAAACATGGACACCCAGAAGGTATGCCTGCTTCCTGATGGAGGTGGGGCACTGTCAAGGATGGTATTGCGGAAGGGACCTTGAAGATCTGGGAAGACTGGGGAAGGGTTATTCCATACACTAAGAGCAAACCCAGAGGTAGAAGAGCCTGCCAGAGCACTGGACTCAGAGGAGTAAGGAGAAAGGGTGCTTACTAAGCTAAGGGGGGAAGGTTGAGGATGCTGTAACTGCAGACTGAAAGTGTGTTACCTGCACACAAGTGTCTGACACCACATAGTCAGAGACCACACAGGGGCCCGGAGCTGGGAACAAATGAAATGGAAGACCCACACTCTGCACTTGGTTGGGGGCTGGCAAACCTTGTTAGCAGGCAGCTCATGAAACCCCATGCTGAACCCTAAACAGCATAAAAAGCTGAAGGGAAGCATGAAGATAGACGGTGCAAGTAATAAAAACAACAAAAGCAGTACCTGAGTACCAAGAAGACACTGAATGCTGGAATGCCTGGGTGCAGGACGCTGGCCCATGTGGGACAGGTAGACAGGACGAGGGTGGTCAGTGGAGCCAGGAGTGGGGTGAAAAGACCTGACAGGAAGGAGGGACGGAACACACAAAGACAAGCAGGTGGAATGAACATGCCAACACAGACAGCCACCTGGTGAGGCCCCATCCTTGCATCTGGAGGAAAGAAGGATGAGAAGCAAGAAGGGCTTAGGGCACTTTAGAAAGGGCCCTAAAAGCCAAGGAGAGAGAGAGAGCTCAAGCATTCAATGCAGTGTAGATCCACTTCTACCCCTTGCTCTGCAGCAAGGCAGTGCTGAGCTAACGTATTAGAAACCACCCAGCAGCATTTACATGACCACACGGGCAGTGGATGGAGTGAGGACAACATCAAAACTGGGGTGAAGAGAGGAAGGTGGAAGCAGAAGCAACTGACATTCATTAAACATCAACTGTATGCCAGGGAGTGAACTACAGATACCTTTAACATATATTCTGTCACCTAATACTAAAAAAAAAAATGGTATGAGTTAGTAACACCTGCACTTTACAAATGCAGAAACTGGGGTTCAAAAGGCAAATCTGCCCAAGGTCACACAGCGCATATCACAGAAAAGAGCTGAACCTTAGCCTGCCCAACCCCAAAGCCCATGTTCATTTCACAAACACAAAACTGGAGGGCCAGATGCTGGAAGCAATCTGGGGAAAGAACCAGCAGATACTGACAGTTGGTATGAGGGGAGAGGAAGACCAAATAAGAAGACAGTCCTCTCTTCTCCCCCAAAATGTGATGCCAAGGCTGAAGGGCAAGGGGACAAGAAGAAATAGTGCACAGGCCCTGGCAGAAAGCAGGGAGGGGCTCTACAATGGAAGCTAGGTGACCCCTGGGCCTTGAAGCAGCACCACAAGGCCTGCTGTGTCCTTCCTTCCATCAAGACCATCCAGGCACATTGCACGTCAGGAGCTTCTTCCCTTTTCATACCTAATGGGGCAGAGCAGCTTTGCCCAAACATGAACAAAAACACCGACAGTGCCTAGTCAACCCCACTAGAACAGGGTAAAATTAACTTGCAAAAGACAGCACGGTGTAACTAGCTTTGTATTCCAACCTTTCTATATCTATTTAATTAAAGGCTTCTGTATAATGTGAACCCAATAGTCAGATTCATTAGAGAGCAAGAACCTAATTCCAAAGTTGTTTTGCTAATGAAACCACAGTCTGCTTTAGAAGTCAGATCACACCGTCAGGATGGACTTTTAACTTCCTGAACCTGGAGGGAGCACCTGAGGGACAAGATGGAGCAAGGCCCAGCTGGCACCAGGGACACGCATGCTCCGAGTGGGGGCAGAAGGTGGCTGTCTGTGCTCAAAGGGACTGGTCAAGGTGTCCTTCCCTACCTGAATGAGCCAGTAAGTGCATCCTCAGTCGCAAACTATCCAGGAACCGCTTTCCGCAGAGCTCACACCCGTACGTCTTCATTCCACTGTGCAGCTTCCTGTAGGGGAAAGGAAAACAGAAGTTGCTGCTGCGCTGGCTGGACAGAAGGCAGGCCCACCCCTATCTGGGGGTTTTGGAGCCATCCCTTCAGCTGGTGAAGGGAGATGGAGGGCATGGGAGCTGGAGATGGGCACTGATGGAAACATGTCCTGGGCCCTTGACTGCCTAGAGCACCCCTTTTTCCTACAGACCCCTGCCCAAGAAGCATCTATTCCTGGTCTTTTCCAGGAGTGAGAAGACCAGGGCATCTCCTAATGCTTCACTCCCTGGCACACATACCAAAAAACAAAAAACAACAAAAACAAAAATCAGATCCAATTTCAGAGGGAGGAAGGAAGAAGCAGGACTGTCAGAGAGACATAATGCTCCCAGTCAGACCAGCAAAAATCGTACACAGAGGCCACTGGGCCTCTGCTTAGCTCAGTCACAGCAAGACCCCCACATACTGTGTCTGTGCACACACCTGGCCCCCCCAAGAGACCTCTGGGTGCAGGAGGGCTGTACCTGTGTCTTTACTCTCATATCCTTAGATCCCACTCTAGTGGTAACTAGCAGCCATTGAATAAGCTTATGAATGAACTGATGTCTTCATAGACACAAGACGTGTCTCTCTCTGGGCTTCTCAGAACCACAGTGACTCCCCAACACACACACCCTTCCCCTAAGGCCCAGCTAAGAAATAGACGCCTTCCCTCTATTTCTTGCTGCAGGGTGAGCCTTAATAGAAAGAAAGGCTTCAGGAAACCAGGTCATATTCTCTAAGTGAAAGGTGGTAGTAGTAATTTTTGGTTTTCCCAGGTACTTTCACACACATTACCTCACTTTACCATCACTGCAACTCTGAGAAGAGGGTTGGGCACAGATGATCACCCCAGGAAGACAGAGGCCCTATTCACAAGTAACCATGGGTCCAGCCTACAACAATGCTCTGACCCCCTAACCCCCAAACCCAGGGCCTTTCCCACCAGACCCCACTGCTCGGTCAGGAGCCAGCAATGGAGCCAGTAAGTGCAGGGAAGCAGGTGGCTCCAGTGGGGAGCTGAGCACTGAGAGGAGGGTCAAGTGCACATGGCCGAGGCTCTAAGCGGCTGGCTGGCATGTGGGCCACCTGGCCCGGAGCACTGACTCTCCTCCCACCCACACTCCTGTTCTCAGGTCCTTACATGCCTCTGCCACGTCCACCATCCACCACTACCCACCTCTGCACCTCACCCACCACCTCCAAGGCACTTGGCCTGAGGAACAGCTGGGCAATGGCAGCCAAGGGCAGGAGCCAAGAATGGTGGGGCAGGCAGAAGACATACAAGCCTCCCTTCCAGACAACATTCTATTGCAATCAGAATGTTGATGTGTTAGGACCACAGTAAAAGTTTGGAGAGCAGCTGCTATTGATAGATAAACACGGGAGGCAAGAGGGAGTATTACACACTGAAGCCAGCAGCACCCAGGTCCAGGCCTTAGTGCCCAGGTCATGACAACTAAACTAAGCCACCCACTGCCACCACCTTCAAAGCCCCACAACGAGGACCCAGCAGTGTGTGAAAATCATGCAGGCCCACAGGTGGGCTTCCTCAGCTCTTCAGTCTCTGGGCCACAGCGGCCTGAAGACAGCATATGGTGTCCGATGTGCATGGCCTCTGAGAGCCGTCACACCCGGTCCCCAAAGTAGAGCTCTTTCTCAATCACGGTTTTGTTTGCTAGCTTTCCCTTTACCTCCTTGCCAAAGACAACAAATGATTTCTCAATCACACAAACACACACCCTCGTCCTCGATACCACAGTGCACCCCACCCCCATGTTATCTTACTCCTGGCCACGGATGATCCAATCCAATTGAGAAATAGTAACAGTACAGAACATTTTAACTGAACATTCTTAACTCTAAATGTATTTCACAATGCTAGGCACTCGGACATGTCTTAACAGCAGTCTGGGCAAACCGTGTTTTTAAACACAGAGGCCCCCTTATCCATCAGGGACACGTTCCAGCGGATGACTGAAACTCCAAGTAGCACCAAACCCTATATATGTACTATGTTTTTTCTTAGACATACCTACCTACCAATAATAAAGTTTAATTTATAAATTAGGCAAACGAACTAAGAACTAATGATAAAATAGAACAATTATAACAATATACTATAACAACAATTATGCTAATGTGGTCTCCCTCTTCCAAAATAGCTTACTGTACTACACTCACCCTTCTTCTCAGGATGGCATGAGATGACACAGTCCCTATATGATAAGATGAAGTGAGATCACATGTGACATAGCGTTAGGCTACTACTGGCCTTCTGAAGATAGGTTAGAAGGAGGATCATCTGCATTAGATGGTCTGGACCATCCAGCTGTTGACAATGTCAGCAGCTGGATGTCAGGAGCAGGCGATGTCAATGGTTGGGAAAACTTGGTATTTTCCAACCATGGTTGACTGCAGGCAACCGAAACCATGGAAGGTGAAACCGTGGTCAAGAGGACAGAGACTACGTACCCAGGCATGTGAGTGTGTGTGAATGCACATGAGCATGCACATGCATAACAGCTGAATATTCCTGTCACTTGCCAGGCATGACTGATATTTGCTTTTCTGTTAGATGGTCCAGGAGTGGCAAAGCTCTATTCACAGGTTGTTCAGCAAGTGAAACTCTTGCCCACATTCATGGTCACAGCAGGTGGCTGGTAGTGTGTGAGTTTCAGTCTTATTTATTTTCATCCTTTTCTTCACTAGTGATTTCTTAACTCCCAGGGGTGCCTACTTCTCAGGAGGTGACTGTCAGAAGGAACAGGGGGACAAACACCCATTCAGATTTGTTTTCCAAAAGGACTATGGAGTGACCAGTCTTCTGGGTCCAGCAGCCACCACCAGGATTAACATCCCCAACTTGCCCTGGGACTCCCATCCCTTCTCCCTACAGATTGCACATTAAGTTTTCTCCTAAATGAACACTTTCTGAGTAACCTCTCTGTATTTTTCCTACATGAGAATGATTTGCCTGGCAATTAGTGAAAGTGTCTTTCTTGGCCAACTCCACTGGTGTGGTGTGAAAGGTGGCGTACCCTAGCCCTCTGCTACAGAGGTGGTAGGGTGCAGGGGAGGATGCTGGGTGAGCAGCCAGAAGACCTGGATCCTTATCCTGACTCGGCCATTAATTTACTTTATGACCTTGGACAAATTATACTGTCACAATATCTCCACCTTTTTTCACCTGTAAAGTGATGGGGGTGATATCTAAGGTTTTGGCCCTGTCTGGAGCCAAAATTTTATTATTGAAAAGTCTTACCCATATAGCCCTGACTAGTGCAGCTCAGTTGGTTGGGCATCGTCCCACAAAGTGAAAGGCTGCACCGGCGTTCAATTACCAGTCAGGGCACATGCCTGGGTTGCAGGTTCAGTCCCCAGTCTGGGTGCATATGAGCAACAACCAATCGATGTTTCTCTCCCTAGCTTTCTCCCTCCCTTCCCCTCTCTCTAAAAATAAATAAATAAAATCTTTTTTTAAAGTCTTACCCTTATCCTTGTACCTGGCCTCCAAGGAATTCCTTAGGAGCACTATTTATTCCCCCTGAGCCACATTTCCACTTGGGTGATGTCCCACAACACCACACAATCAAGTTAGGATAACCCAAGCAAAAATCAGCATCTGATCTGAGAAATCTATTCATTTAAAAACATTCTAATACACATAATATGAGTCTCCTCCTTTTCTCACTTGTGGTCTCTCTTTCAGTTAAAGAATCTTCCAGAACTCTTCACCAAGCTCTCTTCTGGTGCAATGCCCTACCCAGCCTTCAGAGACACAGGTGTCCTATCTTATTCAATGCTTAGGATAAGGACACTGGCCTGCACCTGACCCACTAACTCAGTGCCCTGCACAGGTTAAAACAGGCATCCATGTGACCCCACAGGAGTACAAGAACAAAGGTCCCTCCCACTGCAGAGAGACCAGGGCAAAGCACAAAGTTTGGAAGAGCAAAAGGGAGCACCTCACAGGCCTGGTAGTTCAACAGAACCCAATACTGGTCAGCCCATATCTTTAATTACTGTTCAGACACCAAGGGAAGAATGTGAAAAAGTAGCGCCTTCTTGTAATTAATAGGAAAAGAATTTGAGTGCATTCAGGCACTTGGTGACCAACAGACTCTCTATGGCACAGTCTGCAGAATGGCCAATGTGGAAATAGAATTCCAGCTGGTTTGGGGAGTAAAGTACACATTTATATGAGCTCATGTCTGTATGAGACCACAACCTCCACCACCACTACCACCTTAGGCAACAGCCAAGCATTTTAACTAAAATGGAAATTTGGCCACCTCCTTTCTTCTTGCTGCATACACTCCTCTTCTCCCAGGTTGGTCCTGTCTTTTCACATGGTTTAACTGCTCCTGGCCACCTGATGCCACTAAGGAAGAAGGAGGCGGGGGACATTTTTGCACCTTGCCGAACACTGCCTTGGTTTTCACACTCTCTCCTCTGAGAAGAAGCAACATTGCTGAACACAGTTTTGAAAGTGACCCAGTTCAAGCATGGCCCACGCACCTCCACTCGTGCTCAGCAGAGGAACGATCGCCCCCACAGACTTCAGGCCGCCCATATTTGGGAAGCAGGCCCAAGAACTCACCCACCCCTAGCTCCGCCCCACTACAGATGACACCTGGCCCACTGGGTAAACTCACCTTGAATTGAACACATTTTCATTTCTGTCCAAAAAGACAAAGAAAAAAAAATAACCTCTAACAGGTTTCTAGCTATTTGCTCAAGAAAACAGAATCATTATTAGAAATTAAGGCTAAGTAAATCTAAACCTTTTAACAAACAGCAACAGAGAGAGACTCATTCTTTCTCACAGATTCTCAACCACAATTCTCACCAAGGCCAGCAAGTACACGTTCATCCAAACCCTTTTTGTACTACTGTGAGTCCGAAAATGTTAAAAGTTCATCTACCTTAGCCTGTAAATGATATAATAGCAGGACATAATGGCAAGGCATTATATA